ACTCTGCCGCCGGTGTCAGGACGCAGAGCACAAAAGGGCGCTGGCACCCCCCAACTACATTTTCACCAGATTTACCCTTTGTTCTTTCCTTTGATCGTTCTAAAACATCGATATTCTCCTGGCTAGGCGCCGCGCGAATTCTACCATACCATTTTCAAGAGACTGTTCGGAAGACACTGAAGAGTTCCAACCTAGGTACATAGTTATCTCCTTTTGAAGTTATACCAGACGAAAGTTGGTCGGAACAATTACCCTGAAGAGAATACCGACTTGGACGGGTGAATGAGAGGTTAAGGAACAATTGAAGGTTGAGTAACAAGGCGGAAGTTATTCCAGCCTGGGGGCTTCCGCCCAAATAACTCGAGTCCAGCGATAACCTCCTTCGGTTTCAGGTTATCTATTCTGTAGATATGTAAATACTGGGAGCTCTCCTTGAAGTTACGTTCTTCCACTAAATTTCTTGGCTTGTCAACATTGGCATGATGGTGCTGACACAAGGTCTGAGATGAAGGCGTAGTGTTGTCCCCAAATAAAGCTGACACACGAACTCTTGCGTTTGGGACGTTTTTTCTTACCTGTTTCACTACCGATACCTTACCGCCCGTCCTTTCGCGGAGGTACGATTGTTGCAGCCCACTTAGGGCGTAATGGACAGATTGGTTGATAGGAAGAGGCACTAGAAGATGAGGAAAGAAGCTCGAAGCACTGACGAAAGCACAGTGATCAAAAAGGCAAGATGACTAGTAAATAGAGTTTGAAGACTAGCTGACTGTGGAAAGGAATCAAGAAAGCCCAACAAAGTGCACTCTCTGACGGGACCTGCTTGATCGAAAAAGGCTGTAAATAGTGGTCTTCTGGTTGCCTGGGCTGATCCCATCTTCCAAATGAATTCGTTGTCACTATAATAAAAATCTGAATATTGCCCCGATGGGGTAGGATAACACAGAATGTCGCGTGGGTATACTACTTGAATTGATACCAGTAAGCGAAGGCACAAGAAAGATTCACGGTCTCGGAGTTGGTCTTGTAGAAAGCCTAGAATAACAGCAAACGCCTTATTGTTCATAATATCGTACTGACATTGTTTGGATATTTTCGATAATTTTTTTTTTCGAAAACTAAATGCAAGTTTCGCTCCTTCTAGTCATCAGAAATCCCGTAAGAATGCGAGCCAACCCCGTGGGCGATATAGATAAAATTCAACCATTACATAAGCAGTGCTGAATAAACCTTCCAGTTCTACTCTGTCCCCTGACGTTGCCTTCCGACATGTTTTCTCAGCAGATTCGCCTACTGTTTGCTGACATGGCCTCTGCTATAGCTGGCTTACACTGATGGCTTTCCATATTCAAAAAATAACGTTGGACAATCATAGTTTCCTCTTAAAAGCTCGTCAACGAGTTCAAAAGCACTACATCCAGCCCTCTATTGGCTTCTGACGACTGCTTGCTCAACATGTATCTGTACCTCTTGTCTCTGGTCAGTTCTGTCTCTACTATCAGCTAGTTCATTTAAACCTTTTCGATTTGTTTTATAGATAAACCTAAGCATCTAAAAAGTCTCGTCTGTGAGATTATCTGGCCTCTCTGAAGGCGGAACCGTGCCGTCCTCTGGGCCCTCTGGAACTCAAGTTTCTGAGGCAGCTTATTGAACCCGGGTGCGGGGGTATCTCCCGGTGAAAATGGCCGAAGTTCCCTAATACAAAGACNCGATCGCCGTCAAATGGGTAGAAACTCCGATCTTAATAGCATATGATGGAGTGAAAATTACTGCTTATAACTAAGAGGGGGTTGGGAGAAGGGGAAAGATAAGGATAACTTGGTTCCTAGTACCTCTAGTACCTGCAGATTACTGCCATCCAGTGCCAGGAGGAATTCTTCAAAAAATCTCTGCTCAATGAGTTTCCCAATACTCTACGAGGAAAATTTTAGTGAATTTGTTGCAAAGAAGTATATAGCCTCCAAGGTAGACTAAAGCTCGAAGCGAGGGGGAACAATCACCTACGACATGACTTCATACATATAGCATATAACAAGCTCGAATAAGCACTTCCCGGTCCATTTTCTAGCTACATTTTCCATATTTCGCAGCACATACATAACGATTTTTTAGGTCCTTCTAGTTGGCGCACTTCCACCAGGGTATATAGGTTAGTTCAGGACTTTTTTTCATAAGGTCACAGTTCAGGAAGAATACGTTTCAGAGAATATTCTGGCTCAGCGAAGAAGACCTGATGTCAAGGTATACTTTGTCGAGGATGTTCTCATTCTAAGTCGTTTTTAGCATTTGACGGATATCTTCGCCTCTAATATGTAATTTGTTTATTTCAGTAGGTCACATTAGTAAACAACCGACGTGCCTCTTTGACTAAATGTAAGGCATAAGGCCCATTTGTGAATGGGATTTTCCCATTGAATACATCCCACGATTAGTTCCTTCGGATTTGTTCACCATTTTACCTTGTCTATCACCGATGGAACGATTCTTGCAGCCAAGGCCAACCATTACCAAGTATTCTGATGGTTCAGCCGAGTATAGACTGCTTATTGTTACCGATATGGACAAAGCTTCGAAAGCAGGTAATTGGACATGGAGAGCAGTAGCTCGACGGGGCACCTTGAAGCTGAGCCGTTATAACTCGAAGGTGACCATAACATGGGACAAGGACTTGGAACGGAACTTGACATCGTGAGTTTCAGCTATTTTTGTTTTCTGAGGAATGGAGTTTGTTGGGTTGGTTCCCATTTCTTCAGATCGATGAATGTGAAAGGACGAGCTATGGAACTGTCTGATCTGTCAGTTTTCCATCACAGAATACTTACACCTGATGATAGGACTGGAATGATTAGCGAAATCAAAAATGATCAGGTTAACGAAGAAGTAGAATCCCCATTGTTTGATCTAATCCTCAATCTAAATCGAAGAATTCAGATGATCCCTTGGGTATTTCTCAATTCTGGTCCAGGAAATACAACAGCTCCGTTCAAATGTGAATGGATGACTATCAAAAATGATTTACTCTATGTTGGAAGTCATGGTAATGTAAGTGAAATTCATTCTATTATCACTTTATTGAATAAGTCTTTCGAGAGTCTTGTGCCCATTTTCCATTATTATGAGCCGCCTGTTCCTCCCATAGTACGGTTTATCATGATTTTGGGCCCCCCCATTGGAAGGTAGATAATGGAAGCGATGGTGCAGACTAACGCAAACTTAGCGAAGAAAGCGCGAAAGTCGACGGATTTCAAGGAAAAGGGGAATGTACGAGATTGGCGACAAAAGTGGCGCTAGAGGTCTATTGGACGATCCATCTGTTGCGTGCGTTTGCACGAAATATTAGCTACAGTATGAAAAAAATGCATTTCACTGTCTTTATGGATCGGGATTGCATGCATTGTAAGACTTGAGACTATATTTTGTATTCTTCTGCTACTGCTGTCATTTTGTTGATATTTTCTTGTTGTGGTAGTCTTTTGTTTTGTTACATATTCTCTGATCAGCTGCTTGACTTTTCAACATCTGTGCTGCAAAACCAAGAAAACACGTCCATTTCGGGGTGTGTGCGTCCGCTGAGACGATTTTGGAGCACTTATTACGCTCTGTTTAAGCCGTTTTTTAATCGAACAGCATCCCTTGCGCTTCCTCAGAGTTCCACAGCTTCTTCCTAGCGGGACATCTCGGGAACCATTTTTAGCTTGAACTGTTCCTTTGAAGGCTTGCTATTACAGGAGTTCCGCGACGAAAAAGGAAACGTTAAGCACCGCAACAACATGTGGATAAAAACTGTCACGCCTGCCGGAGAGGTACGAAAAACTCTTGAGGAACTATTTGCATTTGCGAAGTTGTAATACTGAGGTATGGACGCATCTCGACCTAGCACCTTTCGGTAAAGTAGTAGCCTAAAAGTAAGCTCTGAGCAGAGAATCATGGAGTTAATCAATCCCCTCTGGAGACAAGCGCGTTTCCAATTTCTCATTCAGAGTCGTAGTGGCTTCTAAATGTGTATTTGACCTATACATTGATTGTCATGGACCAGTGCTTTTATACTCCCTGTTAAGTCTAGTATCAACCAGATGACCCAGACGGGATGAGGCTTGTATTGGTCCAGGGTTCAATTCCCGAGCCCGAGTGTGATAATACGCTGCTTAGTCCCCCAACGTTCTGCGCCGGAGACGCTTCAGAGAACTTCACTGCGGGAGCATATTTGTAATCGAATGTATTGCAGTCAAATCCAGATTTCAGCTCCAATCAGTGATTGAGGCCGAAGCTGGAAGTAGTTTGGGTTTTCAGGGTTGTAGAACAATTTTTATTAAGGTTACCAACATAGACTGGACAGGCATCTACGACAAAATAAGAAATTCTGTCGATATTTATGAACCAGGATATCTTACACATGAAGCAGTGCAGTGGTCGGCTACCCGAAGGCGTTGGTTCTTCCTACCCAGAAAAGAGTCGAGGACTGCCTACGTTGAACTAGAAGATGAGACGAAGTCAGTAACGGTTTACTTCATTCACCCTAAAATGGCAACATGGACTGATCTTTCACGGTTAATCGATTTATCGATTACACAACTTTCAGGGGCACGAATCTTCTGATTATGGGTTATCCTGACCTAGACCGTTTTGAAGCTATAAGGGTCGGACCGTTGAAGCCTAAACTTGGATTTTCTGCATTCGACTTCATTCCGAACACCGACGACAAACTCATCGTTGCGTTGAAGTCTAAGGAGGTGACCGGTGAACTCACGGAAACGTACATTACCGTATTCACGATCAATGGTCAAGTACTGCTCAAAGATGAGAAGCTCGAAGGCAACTACAAATTTGAAGGGCTTTACTTCATTTAAATTTTGCCTTTGGAAGACGGCTGTGTTTGCATTTTGACTCGCCGATCCTGTCAATAAATAATTATGTTTGATCTGGTGTTTGTTGCTGTTTGGATTTTTCTACGCTCTTATTTTCTTTGAATTACAACAGTAGTGGTGTTCGGGAACTGTTACCATAGGATTACTGAAGTCATATTAGTACTCAGCGGGGAAGAATACGGTTAGGGGTAACCTGTAGTGGAGACTGGTGGGGTAGATAATGTTGACATAGGACACGAAATGATAGAACCCCTGTATATAACAGCAATACTGAGAGACAAAATTGTTGGCAAAAACCTTGATTTGGCCATCACCAAGAACTTGCTCCATGGTCGGAAGGGCAGAGAATGGAAGATTCTCTCAAAGGGTTATTCTTGTAGAAGGGGTATGTCATCCTTTTTGCAGTGTTATGGCCGTGATGCAGGCTTTACCTTATCGATATACAGGGAAGGGAAAAGGAAGCGGGAGGGAAAGGGGTATAGTTGGAAAGAGTGGGATAATTTTCTTCACGAAACTGCTCCGACAGTCAGTACACGTAAGACTATGAAGAGAAGGATTAACTCGGTCAGCCCTCATCCTTCTCCGTATCCAACCTTGAAAGGGGATAATAAAGAATATCAATTTCATTACAATTATACTCACAATTCCATAGTGTCATCGTTCGCCCACAAAAGTTGTGGCTGATTGAGTTTCACCTCCC